GAAGATCACAAGGATTATACATGTAGAGATTACACAGGATTGTACAGGTAATATAGGTAAAGCACCTCGGCACAATGCCTGATGCAGGGAAATTTCATGTCTTTCCCTTTCCTCCCCAACCTTCCCCTAGCCGGTCCAGGATAAGAGTGTTGCCGCTCCCTCATGGCCAAGCTGGCCCCAATATTTAGCGAGAAGCCAGAAGAATCTGTCCCTGAAGGTGGTCCTTGGAGCCCCTTACCTGCTGAGCGCTGGCCTACATCCATAAAAGGAAAAACGGCCAGGTGAGAAGCCTTCCTTGAGCGCATGGGGATGGCCAGGAGGGAAGGGAACGGCTGCAGGACGCATCGCTGGGCACTAGGGGGAGCAATAAGCTCGGGAACACAGTGAGGACGACGCCCAAAATCTCTCCACTCCCTCTGTGCCCTAGTCGCCCAGTTGGGCCTATCCAAGCCGGAAGAGAACGCTTAGGGATTACTGGGAAGGGCCTTTGTGGGGATAAATGACGGGAGAAAATGCAGGGATCTGTAGAGAGGGCGCACCTTACCTCCTGCGTCAGCTTGATACCAGCCTAGAAAGCTCTCCTCGGCTTCTAGACTTCTACCTTTGGGTCTTCTGGGGAAGGAATTCCATGTCGGTAAAGGAAAACCTGAAGTAGGGAAGACTGGCCACTTTTCCCAGTCACTCCAACTTCTACATTTAGCCCCCTAGCATCTCAGCAGTCCCAGTGGCTCACAGCTAGAAGAAGTCTTATAGAGAGCCCCAGAAATTGAACCCCCCAGATGTTAGCTGAAGGACTGGAGCCCAGAAAAGAGAATGAGCTTGAGCAAGATCTCCCAGACAGTTTATAATAATCCCTCAGAGGTCACCAAATACTTTCATGTCTATCATCTGTCTTGGATAGTCACCACCACCAGATTTTGGGGTCAGGAACTATTCCATTTTACAAACAGGGAAACTGAGGTTCAGGTAAGTACCCATAACTCTCCTCTTCCCTACTAAATTTCCATGGCCACCCACCATCCCCTCCTTTCTTGCTTTCCCTTGTTTTAAATAGGTCTGAACTATACTCATAACCTCAGGAAGATTGCTACACAGCTCCAAGTAGTCCATACATCTTGTGGCATTCCCCAAACTCTCAACCTATCCAGCATGATAGAGAGATGATAGAGCAAAGTAATTAGGAAGGTACTCTTTGGGATCAGATCTGAGTAAATATTCATTTACTTCTCTTACGAATTCCATGACCATGAACTTCTCTGTGCCTCAGCTTCTTCATCTGTAAAATGGGAATATTCATCCCTATCTCTTGGAATTCTTTTATAGGTTAAATAAGATGAACCGTAAGGCAATTTCACAATGCCTGGCATATACATAAAGACTTGAGAAATGTTTCTGGTATATACAATTTATCATATAGTCATAGAACTGAAATGACCTTTAAGAATCAGTTCCTTAGGGACGCCTGGGTGGCTCAGTTGGTTAAGCGGCTGCTTTCGGCTCAGGTCATGATCCTGGCATCCTGGGATCGAGTCCCACATCAGGCTCCTTGCTCAGCAGGGAGTCTGCTTCTCCCTCTGTCTCTGCCTGCCACTCTTAGTCTGCCTGTGCTCACTCTCTCTGACGAATAAATAAAATCTTAAAAAAAAAAAAAAAAAGAATCAGTTCCTTAGTTTCATGCCATTTACCAATGAACTTAAATGGAGTTAAGTGAGGAATGTTACTTTGTGAAGTAGGTTAGCATACTGGTTTGAATGGTTTTCTGTCCTTCCCAAAATTCACGTCCACCTGGAACCTCAGAACGTGAACTTGTTTGGAAACAAACACCTTTATAGATGTAAGGAGTTAAGACAAGGTGGTACTAGATTAGGGTGAGCTCTAATCCAATGGGACTGTTATCCTTATACATCCTTATAAGGAGAAAAGAGGAGGTACGGAGACAAAAGACACCCAGGAAAGGCCACATGAACACAGGCAGAGCCTGGAATGATTTAGCTACCAGCCAAGGAAAGCCAAGGATGGTCTAAGCCACCAGAAGCGAGAAGAGAAGCAAGGAATGGATCCTTGCTCAGGGCTCCCTCCCTCAAGGAGCCAACCTGCCAACACCTGGATTTCAGACTTCTAGGCTTCAGACTGAAAGTGAGTAAGTTTCTGTTGTTTTAAGCCATCCAGTTTGTGCTAATTTCCAGCAGCCCTGGGAAACTCATATGGTTTGGGGAGAGGGAGAACTCCAACAGAACTCTTTTTTTTTTCCCCCCACTTCTAGTCTACTCCATCATTAACTCCCCAGACCAGCAAATAAACATTTGTGGAACACCTACCTAGGAAGTTTACCTATTTGGAGAAAAATCGACACAAGCTATAATTGTCAGCACTTCTTACGAAGTTGTTGCCTGAAACACAGTAGTTGTCTGAAACACAACATTTACTGGCAAGTTGATAAAGCTATAGATATACAAATGTAATACAAACTTAAGATATTATTATGAACCCACTCTCTACCTCTGCATACACCTTTGTACCAGACTCTAAATTTATTTACATGCTTTTCATATCGAAGAATCATAAAACTTCAGAACCGTCTCACACTGCAGCCTAAAGGTCACCATGGGCTTTACAAAGCCTGCCTGTTCACTACCTCCAGAGGTGATGAATTAAAAGGAAAGCAATCTGAACACCCTTAGGACTCTGATTCCTCCCAGACAGGGATGATGTCATTCTTGGAGATCCTCCCACACTCACTCAGGAATGGGCAGAGGGAGCCAGGAAGTCAGGAGAGCTGCTGATTACCATCAAGGAAGTAAACCAGGCTGGGAGGCGAATGGGTGGTGGTGGGTCAGCAGCTACAAAGGAAAGGAGGGGAAGGAGGGAGGAGCTGATTCACTAGAACAACTCTTAGGGTGACTCAGAAGCTAGAAGAAAATAGCCTGTTCTCCCACATCTGCCTCATTGTCGGGCAATGAGGCACTTCCCTCATTGCAAATGCAGAGGCAGGGCGAAAGGGAGGAGGAAATGGGATTTTTCACATTTGTGGACCTATTCCAGCACCCCCCACTCTATGTTTTTAACCATTTCAGACATTCTGTTTCAAGTCAGGTCAGTGTTCACTGAACACCTACTATGTGCCTGGCCTTCATCGTGCCTTTCGGATTGTCTGCTCTCCTGAACACAGGGCATGATCCCTTTTGGTTCTGAATTTCCTATGTCATTACTTCAAAAGCACTTGGCCAGCTGCTGAGCTTCTCAGTACAGTCTTGCTGTCCTTAAATAGGGATGACTCTCTCAAGCCTCGCAGGCAGGCATGGAGCCTTTTTCTGGCTCTGATTCTGGTTTTGTATATACTCTCCCAGGCCCATTCTGTGGACCCGTCCTCCTCGTGAGAGTCCGTGTGCGGTAAGCAGAATATGGCACAGGTTTAGTCATACAACCTCGTTGGAAGTTCTTTCTTTACTATTTACTAGTTCTATGCCCTTAGTTATTTGAGTTCTTTTCATTGCTATCTTCTCATCTGTAAAATGGGCAGGATGATGTCTATCTTACAAGTTAGGACAGATTTATCATATAATAGCGGAGATTAAGTAAGATAGCATATGAAAGTGCCTGTTACAGTGATGACATATCTTCCTAGATCAATACTATGCCCCTAGTACTATCTTGCTCAATAATAATTCTTATGATTAAGAATAATATATTAAAAACAATACATTACTTAGCCATTATAAATTTTAATTGTATCATAAGTATTTATTATATTGTATTTTAAAATAATGTGGTTATTATTTATTATTTTTTATTTATTTATTTACAGACAGAGATCACAAGTAGGCAGAGAGGCAGGCAGAGAGAGAGAGGGAGAAGCAGGCTCCCCACTGAGCAGAGAGCCGGATATGGGGCTGGATCCCAGGACCCTGAGATCATTACCTGAGCCAAAGGCAGAGGCTTTAACCCACTGAGGCACCCAGGCGCCCCGGTTATTACTATTTTAACCAGCTAAATAGATCTGGTGACCTGGAGAGCAGTCTATGGGAAAGGAACCCAGAAATCTTAACCTCTGATAGGGATGCATCCCTATCCCGGGATAGGGATGGTCCTGGAAGGCTTGCTGCTAACAGCAAGATCTGCATTCCTGTGTTCACAAGAAGGGACAGACATTTCTTGCATCTTCTACATTGCCCTTTGTTCCAGCTTCACTGCAAACGCCATTGCCCCACAATATAATAGGGCCAAGAACACAAAAATATCCCCTCATCAGACACGCATATTGACAGACTAATTTGCAATCACTCGACTTTTGCCTGAAAGGCAGGTGGGACTGGGTTTTGCCCTCCCTGGTGCTACCCTAGTGGCCCCGCGCCAGGAGCTCCAGTGCTAGTACATCCCTTCCAAATGTAATGGGAAAAGAGAAGGCCGGGTTGGGGCGGGGAGGTGGGGGTGTCTCCGGGTTTATCATCTTTACGTTCTTGCTTCTAGCACCACACCCACAAGCTGGTCCAAGAGAAAGAGACAGCAGGAAAGACACGTTACCAGGTTTGTGACAACTAATTCTAAAGCAGACGCCAAAGGGCATTTCATTTATTAACATTTTGGATAGAATGAAACGTTAATGTGCCCAATCAACCTGAGCTCCCAAAGTCCGCCATTCCTAAGCCTCCCAGACTAGGAGGGTAAAGCACTCGGCACCGTGCTGCCCAGAAACCGCATACAAGGTGGAAAGTTGCAGAAGCCGAGCCGGGAGGGGAGCAAGCCCATCCCGGAGCCCCGGCCGGAGGAGCTCGCTTCCTCCAGGAAGTGACGCGGGCTCAATCCCAGCCCGGCTCTCCCCAAACAAAAGGGATCTTGGGGCCCCGGGAGGAGCCTAAATGACTTTGGAGAAGCCCCTCCTCCAGCCGGCGCGGATTGGTGCCGGTGCTGAGGAAGCGAGGTGGCGATTGGCCCTGGTGAATGCCATTGCGCCCGTCTCGCGGTTGAGGGGCGGGGCCTCAGGAGGCTTGGATGGGAGCGGGCGGCGGAGGCGGCGGGGAGCAGAGTCCGGAGCGCCGGGAAAAGGTAGGAGCCGCCAGGGCTGGGGCTTGGCGGTGGCTGGGGGGCCGGGTTCTCGAGAGAAAAGCAAGAGTAGGACCACCGGTGTCCTCCCCCGCCGTCCCAACTGCCACTTGCGCCCATCCCCTGAGGGGGCGGGGCCGTCTCCTCCGCCTCCCGGTATTCCCCGAGGAGGCGGCTCCTCATCCTCCGAAGGTCCTCGCAACTACTTATTGTCCCCCGTCAATCCCAGCTCCGTATAAGAGGCTTCCCTCCTGACACCCCTCGTTTAAGGGTCCCGCTCGCCCGGCGCCTCAACCTTGGGGAGAGCGCACAGGTTCCCATTCTCTAGGCTGCCGCCCCCACCCCCATACGGTACCCCCGGGAACCCAGACATCCCTCCCTACACTTGTCTCTGCTCGCCAGAGTGGGACCAGAGCTAGTTTCACCCGTAGGATAAAAATCAGTATTTTCCCAAAAAGATGGGTGAGGCAGAAATCAAGACCCTATCTAGACAGCCAGCTCCACAGAAGAAGCGGCCTTCCCCCACTTCAGTTCTTCCCATCCCCCACGCTCTGATACTCAGGCTTCCTCTTGAAGCCCCTCGGATCCTCTCTTCCCTTGGGCGGGGGAGGGGTAAGGTGGCGCGGGCCCAGAGCTCACCTGCTTCGGGACTGTTTTAGACTCTGGAGGAACGAGAAATACTAACTCCCCGCTCCCCCTTCACCCTTTGTGCCGTCCCTCCAATCTCTGCTCCTTGAGGGAGAACCCAACTTCTAAGGCTTTTTCAGGTTTGAGTCGCGTTTCATTTTGCCTTTCTACCCTATTTCTGCCTTGGGAACTTGATGAAAAACCATCCCTTTCTGTTTCACAGATAGGTGGGTGTGTTGGTTATCTGCAGAGTTGGCCTTACGTGGGTAGAATGCAGTGTATATTGTTGGACTGCTAGTGAATAATAGCACGTTTTCAAATAAAACAGTGTAGATAAGTATACAAAGAGCATTAGATTAGGACTGAGTATCTCCCAGTCTAGGGTGGGCTGGTCCGTTGCTCAGGGAGACTGCAGTTAACCTTGAAGGTATAGTTCTGTTGAAACAAAAGGCAGGAAGCGTTTGAAGAAAATTCAGGTTCAGCCATCTAGGTTTATCATTAATCCCCTCTGTGGCCTTTAGTTACTCTGTAGCCCCTTTTTTATGGCGGTTTTTTCCTTCCAGAGGAAACTGAAACACACATGATATTATTGACTGGTTTTGTAACAGAGGTATCACCTGCCAAAATTTAAGGGATGAGAAGTAAGAGCCAGGTTTAAATCTCAGAGATAAGGATAAATAAAAAGCAAGGTCAGCTCCAGCTATTCATGGACCTGTAACCACCAAGAAGTGTCTCTGTATTGTGCTCATAAAGGCTTTGTCAAGTTGACCTTCATTTCAGCAGGTGCAAAATACTGATGATTTTGGCCTATTGTTAATGATATTGAATCCCCAGTAATCATCTATCGGTAGCACTTCCATGTATTAAAATTTGCCATATTTTTTAACATCGTTTCTTTTGCTTTCAAGTTTATCTTACTACTGTTATCTGTAGCCAGGCTTATAGCCGTGAAATGCAAAGAGTTGAAATCATGGTGGGCAGTTATAATGGCTGTCTCTTACCTTCCTGATTAGACTTTCTGAAGGTAGACTTCCTGAAGTTTATTATTTTTGAATAGTTAGCTTTGAAGTTTTCAGAGCCACCCTTAGTGCTCACAGATCTGTTCAGTGATTGTTTCCAGACCTCCAATAAAAAAGCACAAAGAAAGAACCGTGTGGTAGGTCTCCCCAGCAAACAAAACTTACTGTGATAGGAGAGGGTAAGACATGGGGCCCCCGGCAAAAGCAGCAGAAAGAAACTAAAAGCAGAACAGGAAATCCCAAAAAGATATATCTTATTACATGAGCAGAGAACAGAAAATAAACTGAGGTAAGAGACTAAGAACCAAAGCAGTGATGATTGCCAGAGCCTTAATGAGCAGAGACGAAAAAGCAAATAATGCTCTTTGATTATTTGGCACAACAAGCAGGACCTGTCTGATACACGTTTGGGTCTTGGAAATCTTTGCTCTGACTTTTTCAACAACTGTTTGGTCATACTAGATGAGGAAAAGCATTGTATGCAGAGGATTTTATGTATATATCTACTCTATGTGACTTAATTATAAAATCGTTGAGAGCAGGTAGTAGTAATTCTTTTTTTTTTTTTTTTAGATTTTTATTTATTTATTTGACAGATAGAGATCGCAAGTAGGCAGAGAGGCAGGCAGAGAGGGAGAAGCAGGCTCCCCGCTGAGCAGAGAGCCCGATGTGGGGCTCTATCCCAGAACCCTGGGATCATGACCTGAGCCGAAGGCAGAGGCTTTAACCCACTCAGCCACCCAGGTGCCCCAGTAGTCATTCTTTTTTAATCATTGTGTGTTTCCCAGTCCCTGGGACAGGTGTTTGTTGAACTTTGTTTGAAGCTGTCACCTTAGGGTAGACTAGAAAGATAAATTGCTGATAGGATATGACACAACTTAGTATAATCCGTTTCTTTTTGCTGTGATTTTACATTATTTTCCCTACCTGATGTCTTAGGAAACTCCAGTATCTTAAGTGACTCTAAAATATTGAATTTCCTATAAGAAAATATCTGTTGTTTATATATATATAATTTTGCTGTAATGAAATCTGAAACAGACTTACTAATGTAATCACTGCTAGTCATTTTGGAATTTTATTTCTCTGAGACTTTGACCTGAGTGGAATGAGGTGAATTTAGGAGAGCACACTAGGAACTGATCGCTGGTTTTTAAGAATGGTTTCCGAGTGTTTGATTTAGACAAGTTACGCATCTACTTTGGGATTTTTTTCAAGTGGATTTTTAGTCAATTTTGTGCTTTTCTGAACTAGCACTAAATACATGAACAGGGACACAAATAGAATTGGGTCCCTGAATGGAATCATGTGGACTGATACGGTGGGCCCAGTGCACTCGGGTCTATAATGGATGTGTCTTGGCAGAATCAGGTTTGCAATGCTACCAGTTTATTTGCAGAACAGGATTGGAATTCTTGGCTTTTTTGAGTGTAGGAGACCCATGTTTCAAGGGGTTGCCATTGAACTGGCATCTGGTGTCATGATATGAGAAGCAGAGATTTATTTCTAGAGGAAATATGTCCAGTCTCTGGTGGTTGACCCCAGGAATGACTTGTCAGCTGTTTCTGAAGGCCCATTTTTTCTTATTTCCTACATGTTTGCTGCTAATAACTAAAAATCACATCTTGTAAGTTGCAGTTCAAAGCATTTCAATGACAAAATGGCTTATTTGTTTTGAAGCTATAGAGTGTGGGAATTGACAGCAGAAACTCTAAAGGCAAACCTGGGTTCAAATCCCAGCTCTGCTGCTCTTTTTTACAAAGTGTGCCCCAGGCAAGGGCAGTTTTCTATCTCACCACATCCCATTTTCCTCAGCTGTGACATAGAAGTAATTTTTAGAGTTTTTTTTTTTTTTTTTTAAGGTTTACATGAACTAATGTATACATAATCACAGAGCGAGGTTCCTGGCATGTAGGAAGCATACAGTATTGGTAGGTATTATTGCTGTCCTTACTAGCACTTTGCATGTGAATTACAGAATTTAGTGTTAAATATTCTTTTACTCCTTTGGCATTTTAACGAAAGTAAATAATCAGTATATGACTTTACTTATCATTTGGTTGCTTTTAACTATTTTAGTATATAGCTAAGATTCCTAAGTTGAGGAAACAAAGCTTCTATACATCATGATCTCAGACATCTGATACAAGGATACAAGGATTTTTAGGGGAGTATGTATGTCCGCCTCATAGAGTGTATATTTCATAATTTTGTCATGCAAATTATCTTCCTTGAATTTTTTGGCCTGAGAAAAAGAAAGGCAAGGGATTCAACCATCTTGTGTCTTCTCTGACTTGTCAGTTGCTACAATCCAAACTCTACCATCTTAAGTACCTCCATCCTCAGTGTCCTATAATTGGTTTTGTGGACATGGGGATGACAGTACAGGGTTGCACCTTCTGTTAGATTTAAGGATTTTCAGTGGTAATTTTGATCAAAAGTGGTTTTTGCCTTTTGAAGACAGCTCCCCCAACTGCCCCCAAAGTAAGGAGCGATGATGGGAACAGGTGAGAAGAAACAATAGACAGGAGTTAAGAGTGGAGGTGAGAGGAGTTGAGGACAGGGGTGTGTGGGTTGAGGAAAATAGGACTACAAGCAGGCATTGAAGTAAAGAATGCAGTAATAGGGTTCCTCTCTGCCAAGTATTTCCAAACTCTGTATTTCAGGTCCAAAGCCAGAGTTTCCCATCTAAATGTATCCTTTGCTGCTAAATGAAGCCTTTCTGACTTGTGGAGCCACAAAGAATGTTACCTTAATTGTTACTGAGTTCAATAAAAACTAGAAAAGAAAATAGGAGAGCACAGGATGATGGGGTTTACAGACCAAAAAAACTTCTGACCTTGAGCCTTAAGAGCATCTGCTTGGGTCCTTTGTACACAGCTGCTAGGCAGGGCAAGGCTGAAGAGTGCTGTAGGTTTGCCATCCTAGACTGGTGAGAGCCAGGGAAGAAGTATGGCAGGGAGAAGCAAGCTGGGAGGAATTGTTTTAACAAGAAGTAAGAACTGTAAGTTACAAAAGAGAAAGGAACAAAGGGTAAGTGACTGGTAGGTTATAGGAAAAAGAGAGAAGCACTAACTTTGCTTTGGGGAGGTGTGGGGAAGGGGTGCCCCATCTCTCAGTTTCTGCCAGCCAGACCTTTCTGTTGCAGCAGGTGGTTCAGGAATAAGGACAGAACAAATCTGGTTCTTAAGTGATTTAATAGTTGAGGATACAAAAATGATCAGGTCTCATCCCATGTATCAGCTCCTTCCTGTTGCCTCTTGTTCTTAAATTGAAGGCACAGGAGGAATTTTCTTAAAAGGCTCTACCCATGAAGACTTCTCCACTTCGAAACCTTTAGTCTTCCCTACACTGACT